GTGAGCTTGGGAGTGTTTACCCTACAGACCCTGGCTCTGACGGCATCAGAAATGAAGGGTGAAACCCCGGCCCCACTGGAATCAACAGGACTTTAGCCTTGATTTCACTGGGGCCCGCATATCACCTTGAGTCTGTGGATAAGAGTTAACCTGAGGAGCTGAACCTGATTCTATTGCATTATACTGCCCACTTTCACAATTTGGCATATGCAGCAGAATAGTTTTTAACCAATAAATCTATGCATAGAATGATTGATTTGTAGGCTTTTCTGTAGTTCTTATTAGTACTGTAGTACTTGTAACCATTATTGGATTTATTCTTGCAATGCTTCTATGAAGTAGGGTGGTTGTGTTATATCTCCACTTTATAAATGAGGTAGAGAAATTGAATAATTTACTGAAGATCATAGAGGACACTGGTGGCAGATTTGGAGATGAGCCCAGCTCATCAAAGTATCAGTCCAGTCAGTGCCTTAGTAATCAGACCAGTGGTGATTTGGTGCTATGCAAATGTCCAAGATACAGAAGGTAATTTTGAGCTATCAAAAAATGTATTTTAGAGGCAAGAACTCCCTCCTGTACCTCTTGATCCAATAAATGTATATGTAGTTAAATGGGACCAACTCCTTTTCCCATAAAAGTACAATAGGATCAATTCTAAAAGCAGGATGAAGCCCGGGGAGTCACCAAGGCTCTCAACAAGTAACAGGGACTAAATCCTTACTCGTATAATGAGTTTGCACCAATATAAAGAGATTTACAGGCAAAAATCTGCTTACATTCCCAAAGGAAAACCGTAACAGCACCCCCCCCCACACCCCCAATGCCTTCCTCAGCTTGATGTTTCTAGAAGTTTGTTGCTAAGGGGAGAAGTTTATCTTGGTGAACAAACTTGGAAATATTCTTTTTTTTTTTTTTTTTTTTTTTAATCCAAGTAATAAAATAAGCTACAGAAGAGATTTCTGACGTGGAAGTATGTAAGATGAAAATCACTGCATGTGGCAACTATGGCAAGGTAGACACTCCAGGTTCAGTTTTCATCCTATTTCAATACTTGTGAATTCATCAAAAAGCTGGCCTTATAGCCCAGTTGTTTGAATGTTAAGCATGGAAGTCTTGTTTTAGTTGTTAACAGGCTCCAAGCAGGACAGGAGCTGCTCTGGAATGTCTTGCTGTTTGCTGCATAAGCTTCAGTAAACCGGCAGCCACCAACACTGGGCTCCTAAATAACGCCTTCAATGAATTTTCTCATGTTGTTCAATGCAAAGCTTCCTTTTCCCCCCTGTAATCTTCTAATGCTTTGAACTGAGACAAATTGGGTGCAGGTTAAAGCACTGTTCTACCCTGGAAGGGGGTGTGAGGGCAGGACCTGTGTATAGTTGGTCCCAGATTCCTGTAGCAGGTGAACAAGGGGAAAGGTTTTTCCTAATTGCCAACCTGGCAGACTCAGCCTGGGCTCCAAGCTCCTCTCTGTATGTGTATCGTCATCAGTAAGAGAGTTCAGGAAGCCTAATGCAATGAGGTGTAACTGATTGAAACCTAAACAAACAGCTCTGCTGGGCTAAGATAACAAGAGCAAAAAATGTACCTTATTTAATAAAGTCTTGAGACAGGTTCCTGGATACAAGCTGGATGCTGATCTGACGTAAGAGTCATTTTTGAAGGAGAATGGTCTGCACTTAAAGGCTTGGATGAAAGTAGACAAGTGCAAGACATTTCACAACCAAAGACTGAAATTAATCCCCTTTGCCTTCCTTAATTCACCCAGTTTTGGTATTAAATGTATGTAATACCTTGTGATAACTTCATGCCTCACAATTCATAGTTGATGTGAAAAAGGGCAGGTAGGAACAGGTGGAAGAGAGGCAGTGCTGTTAGAAATTATCTCGGTTTTGTTAGCCTGGCAATCTAAAAAACATTTGTGGGCCTTCACTTGTGAGCATAAAAAGTGGAGTATAGTGGTTTTTATTTATAGTTCTCCTGCGCCAGGTACCACCTAAGACTTAATGTATATTACTCTTAAATATGCCAGGGTGAAGCAGAGGATCCGGCAGAGAACAGGAGTTCTTTAGGGTTAGTAACCACCCCATCAGTCTTATGAATACAGAATTAGTAAGGGCCATTTTCAAGAGTTTCCATTCAAGTTCATTTGTATTAAAGTACCCCTATTGTGTGTGTAATATTTCTATAGAAGGGAGTTTGAAACCCCAACATATGCCAGGTTTTTAATAGAAAGCTCTTTATATCTTTTATAAGCCTAATGCTGAAGGAAGGTGGGGAGGAGTTATTAATGATTCTCAGTGGTCATAATCTGATTTCTCTTCTTTTCTTGGAGGTGCAACGTGCAAAAGGAAGTGTGCAAGATGGATGGGTTATATATGAAAGGCTTTGGCATTAGCTATGATTTCTATTATACATTTCCCACAAAGTAAGGCTGTTCTGGGCCACAAAATTACATACTTATAACCAGCTCCAGGAGCCCAGCAGTGGTGCACAAACCATCATAATTAATGACATACCTGTGATGTAAAGCTAGGGACCTTGCAACTAGATTGTTTGGTCCAATGCTATATGAGCCACTGCCA